AGGGCTCTTTCAGATTGGGAACTTGTCATTACTCTTGTGATTGTTACAATCTGCTTTAAGAGGTTAGGGTGAGAAGCGCCTCAGACACCTCAGGAGGGTGCTGGGAACTGGGCAGATTAAAAGGGCTGGAGCTTATTATTTGGCTAGACTCTCAATTCCCATAAAATTACATAGGGTGCAGATATGAACCATCATTACAATTATCACCCTCAGAGGGTTTGTTGAGACTTCCTCCACTGTCGTTTGTAAACCACATTGACATGGTTGGCTGCGAGGAGCTGGAGAGACCGTGGTAGCTGACATTTTGAATGCCCACTGCAGACTCTTCATTTTAGTAACTCTTGGAGACCATTAACATAAACAGATTACGACCTGTCTATAACTGAGACTTCAAATTTCTGTGGGTTGGCAGAATAGTTAACTCTGAAACCAGGAGAGCAGTTTTTCTAAATATGCAGATTCAATTATGACTAAATTTCCTGCCATTTTCAAGGCAATTTCACATAGTCTAGATTTTCCTTAAACTGATAACCATCATGTCCTCAAGGCATGGCTAGGGCTTAGCCTAGCACTTTTAACATTCATTGATTGATGAATTCACTTAAAAATGTTCTTCACCGAGGAGAATATGATCTGAGATGCAACCAACATTAATAATAAAATTAAATCCAGTGACCATAAGAGAGAAAGTGATACTCCTCAACCATGAAGGCCAAATCAGAACACTGCTTCTCACGCGAAGTTCAGGAAGAGCTCATTCCTTGCTTACCCCCCCCATACACACACACACACACACACACACACACACACAATTTACTCCTTCTCTTTCCTCTTTATATATTCAGAGGCGGCTCCCACTTCAAAGCCTCCTTTCATTTAAATACAAACAGGGTGAACAACTGGCAGTCCACGAAACAAATACCATCCAGAAGGGAAGCTTTTCAGATGGCCTGAAGTTCCTGCTTTCCTCCTCTTACCCCTCCCCCAGCTCTTCTCTTCCAAAGGGGCTCCTTAGTGGAGATGCACCTACTCCTTAGAAGTTCTCTCTGAATGCCAAAAAAAAAAAAAAAATGTAGATTGGAGGTTGCATATGGAATGCAAGAATCAACAACTGCTCTGGCTGATTGACTCCATATAGCACCTTTTTCTTTTCTTTTCTTTTCTTTTTTTAAGAGAGATCTTTTGCTATAGGGCACATACACTTGCTGGAGAGACAGAGAACAGAGAAGAGACAGAGAGACAGCGAGAAATCACCCCATGGGGGGGATGGCTTCATTCTGCTCTCAGGATTTGGGGCATGGACACACATACATCTGGTGAGAGTGTTAAGTCGCCAGGTCAGGGATTTGAACCACGGTTGACTACATGGGAGTCCAGCAACATAACCGTTACGCCATCTTCTGGTCCATTTCATCCATTTTAAAGTATACAATTTAAGGGGCCCAGCAGGTGGCTTGGTGGTTGAGGTGCTGGACATTCCCACATGGCTGACCATAGTTTGAGTACTGGACCTGGTGGATTGCTTTCTTACTTTCCCCTTCTCTGTCTCTGTCTCTCTCTGGTCAAAATTTAAAAATGAATAAATAAAATTAATGATTTTTTAAATAAACAAAATAAAACATGCAGTTTGGTAGCATTTAGTACAATCATAATGTTGTAAAGCCATCACCACTATCTCGTTCCAGAACACTTTCATCACCCTAAGAGGAAACCGTGTACCCATTAAGAACTCACAAACTATTCCCACCTCCCTATACCCCTGGCAATCGCTAATCTCCTGTGTGTCTCTGTAGAGTGGTCTGTTCCACATCTTTTACATATATGGACCCACATGATATGGTACTTTGGTGTCTGGCTTCTTTCCCATGGCATCACGTTTTCAAGGTCCATCCGTAAGTAGCATGTATCAGTACTTGATTCCTTTTTATGGCTAATATCCCATTGAACAGCCATACCACGTTTTAGTCATATACTGATAGTACTTTGCAGTTTGCAAAGTGCTTCCAGGTACACCCTCATACTTTAGAAAATTTTAGTGTTGGGACCAGCAGTTGGCATAATGGCTATGTCGCTGGACTCCCATATAGTCAACCACAGTTCGAGTCCTGGACCCGGTGGCTTAAACTCACCTGGGCATGTGTGCATGTGTGCCCAAGATACTGAGAAGAGAATGGAGGAGAAGGGATTGTGGCATGGCCATCCCCCTGAGAGGTGATTTCTTGCTTTCTGTCTCTCTGTCTCTCTCTCTCTTTCTGGCAAGTGCATGCGCCCTATAGCAAAAACCTCTCAAAAAAAATTTTAGTGTTGTTGCTAATGTCATTTTGTTTAGTTTTTGGTACAGGGCACATACACTCACCAGAAAGAGAGAAAGAGGGAAAATGCGAGATCACCCCCTAGGGGGATGGCCAAGCTACTCCATTCTCCAAATGGGACCAGAATGGGGAGAACTGGGCATGCACACACACGCACCTGGCATATTTACCAAGCCTCCTGGTCCAGGACTCAAACCGCCCACTCGGCCACGTGGGTTTCAACCACTTAACCACCTCACTACTCGCTGGCCCATTGCTGTTGTTGTCTAATAGATGAGCAAACCTAGTTTCAGCAAGACTAGGTGGATTGTCCACAGCCATAGAGCTCTCAGAATGACTAAAACAAGACCAAAAACAAAAGCCTCTGACTAAATTCCATGCTATTTTTGTCAAAAAATAAATGTTCTCTAGGTCTCAGGTACAGCCAGCAGTGAATGTACACCTACCCAGATCCTGCGGAAGCATCCCTGTTTCTAGTGAATGAATGTCCATTGAGCATCTCCTGTGTACCAGGTGCTGCTTAGTCCTAGGAGGAGGGAGGACGTATAAGCCAAAAGGAGTTTACAATTTCATGTACTGTATACAACGGTTTGCTTAGATGGAATCCACTTATGGTATGCTTGGTTTCCCAGGTGAGAGGTTCTTCCTGACACAGCACCAGAGCCGAGATACACTTGCTGGTGGGCAGAGGGAACAAAGAACATACTTACATGCTGCCGTCTTCCAAGCCAAGAGAACTGGTTGGGTCAGGTCCATTCTCTCAGCTTCCCGGCACTTCTCACCTGCTGGGGAACTACCTTCATTGCCAAATATGGTGATGGGAAGTAGAGAAAGTGCTTCCTCCTTTGGCGTAAATTGTTGGCTTGCTGCCCTCCAGTTTCTCCCACTACGGGATCCATCCCTACACAGCCACCAGTGAAAGCCTTTTGACAACATCATCTGGACATTGTCACTTCCCTGTTTAACCCTTCCCCCTTCCCTGTTGGTACCCCCATTGCTTTCCAGATCAATTTCCAAATTGTTAAGTAGATCTGACTCTTTGGTATCAGAGTGTAGTCTACATTATCAGCTTTCTTTTCTGTTTTATAGAAAAATTGGCAATAAGTTTCATGCACTTACCAGAGAGATAGGGAGAAAATAAGAAAGCACCCGCCAGGGGGAATTCCCATACCACAATCCCTTCTCTTCCATTCTCCTCTCTGGATTTTGGGCATGCACAAACTCTCACCTGGCATGTTCTTCAAGCTACCAGGTCCAAGACTCGAGCCACATAGTCAGTCATATGGGATCCAGCTGCCTTAACCACCACACCACTGGCTGACCCTATTATAAGCTTTCTTGCTGGCCCTTCCCAGCCCTGTATCCTGTGCTCTGGCCCCACAAGAACATGTCATCATTCTCTAACATGCCATGGATTCCTTGTATACATTTACCCTACGTTTTCAAGAAATACCCTTTCATTCCCCTCCATTCCTTGGACAGCTCTTTCATAACTCATTCTTCAAGACTCAGCTGAGATGTTCCCTCTTCTAGAAAACTTTCCTGGATTTCTCCCAAGCAAAGCTAGTGGCTTCTTTTTCTTGGCCTCCAAAGCACCGTCAGCACAAAATGACTCCCACGGTACTCCTCAGCAGAAGGGTTTTCAAGAAATACCCTTTCATTCCCCTCCATTCCTTGGACAGCTCTTTCATAACTCATTCTTCAAGACTCAGCTGAGATGTTCCCTCTTCTAGAAAACTTTCCTGGATTTCTCCCAAGCAAAGCTAGTGGCTTCTTTTTCTTGGCCTCCAAAGCACCGTCAGCACAAAATGACTCCCACGGTACTCCTCAGCAGAAGGCAGCTTCTTTGAGGTCCTTCACCCCAAGTCTCCCAAGAGCTCTTCTAGGCTTTATTTTATTTTTTATTTTTTTATAAAGAATTATTTGATTTGATTTATTAATTTATTTTAATTTGAACAGAGAGGGACAGAATGAAAGAGAGAGAAAGGGAGAAAGCAAGCCACCAGGTCCGGGACTCAAACCATGGTCAGCTGTGTAGGAGTCCAGAGCCCTTAACCACCACACCACGTGCTTCCCCCCTTACCCCCCACCCCCGGCCGTTAATATTCTTCCTACTGTGCCTAAAATTTGCCCTATCAGGGGCTGGCAGGTGGCGAGGTAGTTAAGGTGCTGGACTCCCACATGGGTGACAACAGTTCAAGTCCCGAATCTGGTGGCTTGCTTTCTCACTTTCCTTCTCTCTCTCTCTCTCTCTCTCTCTCTCTTTCTCTCTCTCACCCTGTCTCTCTCTGGTCAAATTAAAAGAAATAAACTTAAATAAAATAATTCTTTAGAATATAAAATACTACTTTTAAATTTGATACTTTGAACTTTACATGACAACTGACAATTAAGATGTCTTAGAAGTATGAGAGAACAGAGAGTAATCTGAAAATAACCTTTTTGTCTCTTTTGCTAGAGGACACATGTGCTTACTAGAGACAGAAGGGAATGGTCCCACTACAATCCCTTCTCCATCTCTCCCTCCTTTTGGGCTTTTGGGCACACATACACAGGCACCTGGTGTGTTTCCTGAGGCTACCAGATCTGGGACTCTCTCTGTCTTTCTGGTGAGCGCACATGTCCTATAGCAAAAACCCCTCCAAAAAATAAAATAAAATTTAGAAAATTTTAAAAAGTCTTCCATGGGTGCTCACTTCAGCAGCACATATACTAAGAAATTGGAACGATACAGAGAAGATTAGCATGACCCCTGCACAAGGATGGCATGCAAATTCGTCAGTCGGTCCATAGTTTTCAAAATATTTGACAGTCATGCAATAAATATATCCTCTGGGGGGGGGGAGTCTTCCATGGGAAGATAATATCACAGTAATAGCATATTTGCTTAATACTCTGGAATTTAGAAATTGCTTTCCAGGTGTTATCTGTGAAATATGTATTCGTTTTTTTCTAATTTATGGTTGAGAACACACTTGGCAATTTAAATCGAGGCCTTTGGAGTGCCAGTTCAGCGACACAGTCACTTCTCGCTAGGCCCTCAGCCCAAACCTTGCCCACTATAACGTGGCAAATAGTATAAGGCTGGAAGATAAAGGAGTGGAGAAGGAAATTGCGGTGTGGCCATCCCCTCTGGAGGGTGATTTCTCACTCTCCCTCTATGTCTTTGGCTCTCTCTGGCAAGTGCACACAGCCTGTAACCAAAACTAAAATAAATAAATAAACGCTGAAGATTTTTAAGCAGAGAAAAGTACTACAGAAGAATGATCTGGGAACTTGGGGAGGCATAGGACGAGCTGAAAACAGGCAAGTTAGGCATTCTGACCTTCTCAACGAAGAGACGAAGGTTTACCATTTTTTCATTCAGGGTTTCTGTATGAAGAGCAAAAAATAAAAGGAAGAAAGGAGAAAAGCAGCGTTATTCAATGCAAAGGTTGTGGAGTCAGAGAGACTGAGAATGCAATCCTGGCTTGGCCATTCACTGTGTTTCCTCAGATAAGTAATCGACTCTCTTTTCTCGTGCGTCACACTACACTGTGACGATTAAATATATATATATGTATACCTAGATGGCGTGGTGCTTAAGGCACTGGACTCCCACATGGCTGACTGTGATTCAAGCCCAGACCTGGTGGCTTGAAATACCAGGCACGTGCGCATGTATGCCCAAAAGCCCAAGAGGAGAGAATAGAATAGAGGAAATTGTGGCGTGACCATCCCCAGTGGCGGATGCTTTCTCACTTTCCCTGTCTGTCTCTGTCTCCAGCGAACGTATGCATCCTATGGCAAAAACCTAAAATACACACACACACACACACACACATACACAAAGGTGAACAACATAATATTCTTTGCTGAAGATGGTGAATGTGGTTATATCCTTGATTTATCACACACTACATGCATGCTTTCTAAAACTATATCATACCTCATAAAGTTGTACGACAATTCAATGTAAATCAGAAATTATACAATAAAAAACTATATCATATCCCATAAAGATGTACAACAATTACATGTAAACCAGAAATTATACAATAAAAAAGGCAAAATATATATAATATATGAAGAGCATTTGGGCCAGCCCCATAGCACAGCAGTTAAGCACTGTGCATAGGGGGCTGGATGCCACAAGGCCAACCATAGTTGGAATCCCAGACCCAGTAACTAGAGAAACGTGCTGGGCACATATGTATGTGTGCCCAAAATTCTGACAGGATGGAGAAATGGAAGAAAGAGGATTGTGGCACAACCATGTCTCATTGGAGGGTGCTTTCTCTCTCTCTCACAGATGAGCACACATGCTCTCTGGTGGGCATACACACACACAAGAAAATCTAAAAGGAAAAAAGAGAAGTGTTTCTCTTGGTCCAGAACACATCTAATTCATTTTTGTGCCCTCAGCACTGAGCATGGAGTATAAAATACATATATAGTTGAACATCCCTAATACGAAAATCTGAGATATTCCAAAATCTGAAACTTTTTAATCACTGACATACTGTTTCAAGTGGAATATTACACACCCAAACTGAGATGAGAGGTTGTCGTCAAACACTGTAATACAAAAATATGATGTAGGGGCTGGACAGCAGCACAGCTGTAAAATGCAATTCTCAGGGAGGTAGTCTCATATGGGAGGGCTGCAGGTTCCCATCCAGAGACCACCCTGAGTACCCTGGGCGTGAATGTGCCCAGGCACATTCATGCTGGGACTAAGAGTGGATAATGGCATTGGGACCCCATTGGGGTTGTTGTATATCTCTCTTGCTCATGGAATCAATAAGTAAAACTTAAAAACCATTGTATAAAATTACCTTCAGGCGATATGCGTGAGGTGTATATGAAACATAAATGAATTCTGTGTTTAGACTTGGGTCCCATTTCCAACATATCTTGTTATGTATATGAAATATTTTTAAAGTCTGAAATCTGGGGCTGGTAGGTGCTGGACTCCCACATGATCAACTAAGGTTCAAGTCCCAGACCTGGTGGCTTGCTTTCTCACTTTTTCTCTCTCTCTCTCTCTCTCTGTCCCTCTCTGGTCAAATTAAAATAAATAAATAAAGTTAAATAAAGTAATTAATTTTTTTTGAGAGGTGTTTGCTATAGGGTGCATGCGCTCGCCAGAGAGACAGAGAGAGACAGAGAGACAGAAAGCGAGAAATCACCCCCCAGGGGGGATGACCACCACAATCCCTTCTCCTCCATTCTCCTCTCGGGATCTTGGGCATGCATGCACACGCTCCCAGCGTGAGTTTAAGCCACCGGGTCCAGGACTCGAACTGCAGTCAACTACATGGGAGTCCAGAGACATAGCCATTATGCTAACTGCTGGTCCCAATAAAGTAATTCTTAAAAAAAATCTGAAATCTGAAACATTTCTGGTACCAAACATTTTGGATAAAGATATTCAATTGGCAAGCATTTAGCACACTCCCTAGTACAAAGCATTCATTTATTTACCCATTACTCATTCCTTCATTCAACAAGTATTTATTGAGGATAAGTACTCTTTTAGGCTTTGAAGATATAGTTATGAATAAAACAAAATTCCTTGTCTCATGGGGACTCAGTAAGTAGTAGCTACTGAGCCAGTCAGTGGCATGGTGGTTAAGGCAGCTGGATCCCACATGGCCAACTGCACAGTTCCAGTCCTGGACCCAGTGGCTTGAAAAACACATACACCTGGCATGTTTGTGTGCATGCTCAAAATCCTGAGAGGAAAAATGGAAAAGGGATTGCAACTTAGCCATCCCACATGGGGGATGCTTTCTCTCTCTCTGTCTGTCCCTCTTGGGAGCACAAATGCCCTGTAGCAAAAAAAAA